AGAAAAGGAGAGAAGGCAAGGAAGTGAGAAAGTGAAGGAAGAATAAAGATAAGAAAATAGTAGTAATAAAATTAAAAATACTGAATAAAAAAGGAAAAAATAAAAAATAGAATAAAGTAAAAAATTCAGCTCAGCAAAAGTTCTGGACTTATTCCTTTGATATCAAATCCAGGTACTGGCACTTATGACTGGGGCTTTCTTAGTGACCCTGTCTCTTCTCAAGATTGATATGCTGAACTGTGTAGTGAAGGATGCTGTGCTTCTCTGCTGGACAGCTTGGGGGTTTTTGGCTCCAGGTTTTTGAGTCCTGTGTTTCCTTGGTCTGATGGTCTATCTAGGGTAGGTGGGATATCTGAAGTGGTCTCACCAGAAGGCTGGTTTGTGAGCAGTCATTGGTCCTTTCTGCCTACAAGGCAGGTTGCAATTGAGGTCAGTGGTTACTCACTGCCAGATTGTCCTAGGTGGTCAGATATGTTACTGTTCTCTCCAGGTAGCAGCTGAGTCACTCCACCTGCAACTCAGTGTTGTGTCCATCCACAGTCCCATGACATAAGCTCAGTGATCCACCATTCCCCTGCTCTGAGAGCTCATCCCATGCCTGCTCCTTGTGCCCTGTCCTTGCTGTCAGAGTTTAACTTCTTGCCCCACCCCCACTCTCTGAGGTTGGTTCAGCATTCTGCCCTGCTTCTGCCGACAGTAATGAATTATATTCACTCTACATGGTGTTCAGGTTTTTTGGGGGTACAATATGCCCACGAGCCACACTGGATTATATTCCTGGGAGGGCAAGTGGTGTGTGGCACTCACCTGTTGGAATTGCAGATTTACACCATTGGAGTTGGTTCCAGTCTGACTGGTTGAAATGGCAGGTGGCTTTTCCCAAGGCAGACTCTTGCTGGGGTTGTACTTGTCCTGGTCCCCTGCTGGGTCCAGGCTTGGGGGCTGTATATAGACTGTCTGTGGGTCAAGGGCCCAGTACATTGCAGAGTCCAGTTCAGTTTGATTCACAGTCTTCCGCTTTTTTGCAAGGAAAGAGAGAAAAGGGGAGAAATGGCCAGAGGCTTTTCCCAATGCAGATGCACCCAAGTGGCTGTGCTGTCTTGCACTGGAAATTCCCCAGCTGTTAGTCATAATTAAAAGCTGTTTTAAGGGTCTGTCCCTGAATTTTATGTGTACCATATGTGTTGGTGGTAATTCAGTTGGTTAAAAAGAATCATAATTACCCAAATGTAGCTACTGTGACTCTACATGATTTCTGAAATTGTGGAGCTAAGGAACTTTGATTCCCTGTGTTATCCATGATCTTAGATCCTCTGCAGTTATTACTCAGTTATAATGAAGAATCAAATTATATTGCTCTCAGGGAAATGATGGAATTGGAGAACATTATTTTGAGTGAATATGCCAGGTTCAAAAAGCCAAACATCACATGTTTTTTTTCCTCATATGTGGAACAATAATAATGAGAATGGACAATGATAATAATAATGAATAATGGACAAAAATAATAGTGAGAATGGAATATGAATGTAAATGAGGTTCTACAAGAGAGAGGAATTAATGGAAGTGAGGAGATAAGGCAAGGTACTGGGATGTGAGAGGTTAGAAGTATATTACATGCAAATATATGAAAATAGCACAACAAAATCCACCAAACACTGTTTGTAAAGAGGGGAGGAAGTAGGAATTAAGTATAATAGAGGGAGTGAACTTGTTCAGTGAAAACTGTATCCATCTATGAAATTTTCACAATGAACCTCCCCTTGTACTATTAATGATTAAATTTAAAAAATGTACTATCTATGCATGGTGGAATACCATTCAGGCATAAAAAGAAGGAAATTCTGCCAGTTACATGAACATGGAAGAACTAGGTGAACATGTACTATGTGAAATAAGATAGGCACAGAAAGACAAATACTGAATGATCTCATTTATATGTGGATTATATAAAAATAATCTTATAGAAATAGAAGAATGGTGATTACCAGTTGGGGGAAGTGTTGGGGAAATGTCAGGTAAAGGATGCAACACTTCATTCAGAGAGCAGAAATAAGTTCAACAGATAATTGTGCAGCAGGATGACAATAGCTAATGATGGCATTTTGTCCTCCTGAAATTTAGTGGATATTTTATTCTCACCACAATATGATATCCATGTGAGTAATGCTGATATTAATTTCTAGATTTAACCATTGCACATTGTGCAATTCTTTAAACATGATGTTGCAAAATGACAAGCACATAAACTTTTATCTGACAATTTTAAAATAAATGAATTTGAAAAATAAAAAATGAGAAAAATAAAGAGAAAGGTCTCTACTTTAGAACATTATGGATATTAAATGATCAATAAAATCTCCAAAGATTTTCCTCAGGAGGTATAACAGAGAGATTGTTCTTGTAATTGGTTCCATGTAGGAATTAAACATTTCCTAGTGTAAACCTTCTGACTTTAATATTACACCAAAGAAAAGAAGAGTTTCTCCTCGGATGAAACATGTTTATCTCATTCCATGATATCTACATAGACACGGAATTGACTGAAAAATTTCCATTTTACTTTCTTCTTTGTACCCCAAGAGAACTGAATCGTTTGGAGAGTGAAAAGACAATAAAACAATTTATTTAATTAGGAAAGCTGAGAATTCAACCCTGAGGTGCTAGAAACCACAAATCTGCACCTGCTGCCCTTCTGTAATTCTCTGGTCTCAGCCTCCATGAAAACCCACGAGGTCTTCCCAGTGACAGATCAAGGAATGAGAATGTTTCAGTGATAGCCAGTGGAGAGAGTTGGTTTGTAGCAGTGGGTGCTGGAGAAGCAAGACATAAAGGAGGAAAGAGTGTGGGATCTGGGCTTTACCTACAGAATAGTGAGAATGGTGAACTCATATTAATTACGTCTATGAAGGTGTTGTCTTTGAACTTTGAAGGACCTTCAAAGGAGTTTCCATTGAGACTTGTCTTTTCCAAATATAATTGTGCTTTCTTTTCTCATTATTGTACTCTAGAACCAGTAAGAGTTATTTTTTGGTGAGTCTTCAACTCTTGTTCACTCCTTTCTAGGCTTCTATTAGATTATCTGTATGCAATGATTTAATCATTAACCACTCACCAAAGATCTATTATGCATAAGGAATTGTCTGTTTTGTTCCTAATTTTATAAGAGTTTTATATTATATCCTTTAACCCTTTTTACTGACAGATTTCAATTTCTAATGCCTCTTATTAGTTCAACATTATCAGTCATCATTTCACATTAGTTTCTGTAATGGCATGTACCAATAATGTTTTTATTTCTGATGTTTAATACTTAGTCCAGGTGCCTTTTTTCATATTACTAACTTCTGTGAATGTTTAGGAAAATATTGAATGATTGAAGTTGGAGGAGTCTGTCTTGGTATGTTCATGAATTTAATACAAATAATCTAGTTTTTAAAAGTAGCATTTCCTATTGTCTATTAAAAGCAATCATTCTTTATTACATCTGAAAATTTTCCTTTTTGCTTTGTTTATAGATTGCCTCAGCCTTGGGAGCTAATCATAGATGTGGACATTAATTTTTTTCAAATGTATTTTTCCCTGGTGTGGTTACAGTTAGGATGTATATATTTATATTTTAATTAGGATGTATTTGTTGTACAGGGAGATTCATTGTGACAATTCTGAATAGGCTTGCCTAGTACATTGGTTAGATCACTCCCACTATCTCCCCCTTAACCCCCTCCTGCCCCACTTAAAGCAATTGTAAGAGGTTTCTTTATTCTATTTTGTATAAGTACATGAAGTCTATCAACCATATTCCCTCACCTTAATCTCCTTAATTCACCCCCCCTTCCACAAGTACCCTCCTCACACAGTTCTGTTTTTCACCATTAATTTCTAAGTTGATGTTCAAAGGGGTTTCTTAATGTATCCCTGCTGTGAATATACTTTGCTTTTGTCCATTCAACTCCTTCCATTTCTCCTCCTTAGCCCTTCCCTCCTCCATCTTTGACTAATTTTGTGATGTATTATGTTAACCAACATCTAAATGTTAAATAAGTTATCCAGTATAATTGGTATTAACTGCTCATCATGCATTATTTTTTAAAATAGATGTGAATGCATTTAACTTTGCTATTGAGTTTCTTATCTATAGTCAGATTGTAATAGGCTTGAAGATTACTTTTTATGATATAGTTGATATTAATATTTATTGTCCATCAAGTATTTGTATTTGCATAGCACATACAATGTGACAAGCTCCAATGAAGTCCTTGGAAAGACATGTGATGAGTCAAAACTATTACAACCACAGGCCCACAAATAATAAATTTGCCACCCTGAAAGGAGAATTAAAGAAAGTGAAGGAAATCTCTAATGTGGTCATCCCACATTCTGTCTTTCTGACCTTTATCCTCTGTTCTTCATCACCCCATCTCTCAAATACCCTCCATTCAAGCAAATGGACATGAATTTACCAATGTGAAAGGGATATAAGGAAGAGTGAAAGGTCCCTATTCTGGGCCTCACACTCTGTGTCCTTCCTCACCCTGATTCTCTGCCTGTCATCACACTTGTCTCTTGAATGCCATCCTATACCAGCTCACCAACTGATAGCGCAAATGCACATTCTGTTCTCTGAGTCTAGAATGTACCTTCTTTCCTTTTCTCTTCTGATTAACAATGATACATCCTTATTCCTTCATATGAAACACTCTTATTTCCAAGAAGACCTCCTACCCAGGTTCACAGACTAAATTGGTCCTCCATGATGTTTCTCTGTGTTTAATTTATTAATCTTTTGCCACTCGCAGTATCAACTATCTTGTTGTGGAGAACATAAATTGTTTTTTTAGCATATGGTACAGAGCATAGAACCCATGTCCTTGCACATGCTAGGCATACACTCTGCCACTGAGCTATATCTCCATACTATTTTTTAAATCTTTATTTTGTCCTTTAGTTTTTATAGGATTATTATATTTTGCCCCCATCCCAGAAGTTATACCGGTGACATGGAAGCAGAAAACCACACAAGAGGAACACAATTCATTCTCCTGGGTCTCTCAGATGACCCTGAACTGCAGTCCATCCTCTTTGGGCTATTCCTGTCCATATACCTGGTGACAGTGCTTGGGAACCTGCTCATCATCCTGGCTGTTGGTTCTGACTCTCACCTCCACAACCCCATGTACTTCTTCCTCTCCAACCTGTCCTTTGTTGACATCTGTTTTACCTCCACCACAGTTCCTAAGATGCTGGATAACATTCACATACACAACAAAGATATTTCTTACAGACAGTGCCTCACTCAGGTATATTTATTTATGATCTTTGTTGGAATGGATAATTTCCTACTGACTTTAATGGCATATGATCGCTATGTGGCCATCTGTCACCCCCTAAACTACACAGTCATCATGAACCCTCACTTCTGTGGCCTCCTAGTCCTTCTGTCCTGGCTCATCATGTTCTGTGTGTCCATGCTCCACCTTCTACTGATGATGCGACTGACCTTCTCTGTAGGAACTGAAATCCCACATTTCTTCTGTGAATTAGCTCAGGTTCTCAAGGTGGCCAGTTCCAATACCCTCATCAATACCATCTGTATGTATGTGGCTACTGCCCTGCTGTGTGTGTTTCCTGTGACTGGAATTCTCTTCTCCTACTCTCAGATTGTCTCCTCCTTACTGAGAATGTCCTCCATTGTGAGCAAGTATAAGGCATTTTCCACCTGTGGGTCTCACCTCTGTGTGGTCTGCTTGTTCTATGGAACAGCACTTAGCGTTTATCTCAGTTCCACTGTGACTGATTCTTCCCGGGGAAGCATGATTGCCTCTGTGATGTACACTGTGGTCACCCCCATGCTGAACCCCTTCATATACAGCCTGAGGAACAAGGACATGAAGAGAGCTCTGGGAAGACTCCTCAGCCAGAGAAGCCTCTTGTCCTTGATGGATCAGTAAGTCCAGAATTAAGCGGATGCCATCTAAATGACATGACTAATGTATTGCATTCCCAAAACACCTATAAGCTTGTTTTTGTATATCTGTGTATTTGTTTCACCTCAACACCTTCAGTAGTTTACTTCAAATTTTTCTTCCCAAGACCTGGTCCATAAACTTTCAAGTCTTACAACAAACTTGCAGACATTCCTGAGATGTCCAACATTATTTAAAGCATTTATATCAAATGTTGATGTAGTATTCCCAAAAGGTATTGCTTGAATATTTAATGTTATTCACCTTAATTTGATTTTATTATTGTTTTCCCCAGAAGAAATAGAATTAAAACAATGAAAGTATAGTGTTTTCCATATTAGGACTGTGCTTGTCATTTTGCGTGGGTGACTTTGTATAATACTGAAAATATTTCTTTAGATATTTTTTCATCCACCCAATTTCTGAAAAGAAGATACTCAGATTGGGATGCAGAAGAATCAGGGACCTAACAGTAACCCCACACTCACATCTTTGCCATCCAAATTTTTGTAAGTAAAATGATTGCATTTTTAAATATAAAAGCTGGACGTCACTTTGGATGTGAATTTGCTCATCTGATTCATAGTGATTTAATGCTTACGGTAATCCTGGGATATTATTACATTCCTTGTGATACTTCTTTTTTATCTCACTTCTTTTCCTTGTTTCCTCCTTTCCTTCATCTCTTGTTTCTTATCTATTCTCTTCTTTACCTTTCTCTTTCCTTCTTTCTTTTCCTCCTTCATTTTGACTGTTTATTTGATTAATGTTAACTTGGTCTGTTCTTTTTATGGCCACACAATATTGTACTGTGTGCATGCACACAGACTGTTTATTCATTCATCCATTGATGGGCATTTGGGTACTTTCAATGTTTCAGCTATTGTGAATAATGCTTCTATGTTTATGTAAGCACAATTACTGTTTTGAATACAGTTATGTTTGCTATAATGACATTTTAGTCAATGACAGACAATATATATTATGGTGATCACATGACATTATATTGCTTAGTGACATTCTAGCCATCCTAGTTTGTGTAAAATACTCTCTGATGTTTGCACAATGATAAAATCACCTGATGAAGCTTTTTCTCAGCATGTACTCTGGTTTTTAAGAAGTGAATGCCTATTCCTGTTCTCAATTATAACAGTAATATATTTAGGATTGAAACTTCTGGGATATATGATCATTCCTGTTTAACTTTTTGAAGAACAACAAAATGCATGCTATACTATAATGCATGAAAGTTCTTTTATCTTTAAATCTTTGCCAATATTTGTTAATTTTCATTTTTATTAAAAGTATAGTGTCCTATTGGTGTAAAGTAGTATCTCCTTCTGGCTTTGATGTACATTTGCCCACAACTAATTGAACTTCTATTTAGGTGGTTGTTGGCTGCTTAGATATCTTCTGTGGAGAAATGTCTTTTCAGGTTTTTTTTCTCATTATGCAATGCTGTAGTGTGTTCTTTTGCTACCGACCTGTAAGATTTCTTTATACATTGTGAATACTTCATCTTTATCATGTACATGTTTGCAGCCATTTTCCCAGTTCATTTATTTCAAGTATTAAACTCATTGTTATTAACTGTGTTCATTCTCATGTATAATAGATCTCTAGAAGCTGTTTCTCCCACCTAAGTGAATTTTCTGTCCTTTTACCAACATCCACACAATTCTGAGGCCTACAGTCTCTGGTATTCATTTTCCTGAGTGTGACTATTTTACATGTCAATGAGTTCATGAGGTGTTTTGTCTTTCTATGCCTTCTCAGTTCTCTTGATATAATGTTGCATAAGTTCATCCATGCTGTACCAAATGATAAAATTTTATTTCTATGTCTTATTACTGTTCCATTGAGTATGTAAGCCACATTTATTTCATTTATCATTTTATTTGATGACAAATACTCAGTTTGATTGCATATCTTAGCTATGATGAATAACACTGCCATAAAAATAGGGATGTAATTATGTCTTGACATACTGATGTCAGAGGTTTTCTATATGTTCAGGGATTGCTGGTTCATATAGTAGTTCTAGTTTTAGCTTTTTTGAGTAAACTCTATAGCATTTTGTTTAATGGTTACAGCCAGCAAGTAATACTCAGTAATAATGTTCTATGGCCTCTTTCTCCAAGTCTTCACCAACATCTGTTATCCATCACCAGGCCATTCTAACAGATCTGGCTTGAATATGGATTTGACTTGCATTAGTCTCATGATTCATGGTGTGGAGCATTTTTTCACCTACCTGTTGGCCATTTCTACATCTTCTTTTGAGAAATGTCTATATGGGTACTTTGCTATATTTATAATTGAGTTGTTTGAGCTACAAATATTTGATGTTTACCTCTTATGGTATGTATGATTTAAAAATATATTCTCCATCTGTAAGTTGTTGCTGCAGTCTGTACACTGTTTCTTTTGCTATGTTGAGGCCTTTAAGTTTGATGCAATTATCCTTTGTTTGCTTCTGTTTCCTGTGCTTTTGGATTTAAATACAAGAAATGTTTCATTTACCAATGTTATTGAGCTTTTGTTTATTTTCTTCTAGGAGTTTTACACTTTCATGACTTACATTTAAATCTTTAATTTTTTGGGTGGTGGGACTGGCATTTGAACTCAGGATTTCAAGCTTGCAAAGCAGGTGATCTCCCACTTGAGCCACATGAGATGGGGAATCTCATGAACTATTTTCCTGGGCTAGCCTTGAATCACAGTCCTCAGGATCTCAACCTCCCAAGTAGAGGGGATTATAGACATGAGCCACCTGTGCCTGGCTTGAATCTTTAGTATAGTTTGAATTGACTTTTGTGTACGGTATGAGATGAAGTTCTAATTTCATTCCTATGCACATGGGTATCTAGTTTTCCCACTATCATTTACAAAAGAAAATGTCCTTTCCTTAATGTGGTTTACTTGTATCTTTGTCAAAAGTCAATTGATCATAAATTTACAAATTCATTTCTTGGCTCTGTATTCTGTTCCATTGTTCTTTGTATCTGTTTTTGTGCATATTCCATAATTTGTTTTCTTAATGATGCTTTAAGAACTTAGTTCTAGTGAAATCCAGGATGAAATCTTTTCTCTTGTTGCTCATGCATTTGGCATCATATGAAAGTATTCACTAACAAACCCAATGTAATAAAGATAATTTGCTTTTCTGTTAGAGTTTGATGGCTTTAGATATTATTTTAAAACCATTGATCCATTTTTGAGTATATTTTGTCTGTGGTTTGTGCTAGAGGCCAAACTTATTCCTTTGCCCTTTGTTTAGAACTGCAGAAAGGACTTTTGAAGTGGCTCAAGTGGTACAATGCCTGCCTAGAGCTGCAGAAAAATTTTTTATTCGTTTATTCACATATGCATACATTGTTTGGGTTATTTCTCCCCCCCACCCCCTCCCTCTCCACCCCACATCTCCTCGCTTCCAGGCAGAATCTGTTCTGCCATTATCTCTAATTTTATTGAAGAGAAAGTATAAGCAATAATAAGAAAGACAAAGCATTTTTGCTAGTTAACATAAGGATAGATATACAGAGAGATTCCTAGCATTTCTTCTATGTACAAATGTGTTACATCCCAAGTTGATTCATCTGTAACTGATTTTTACTCTGGTTTCTGATCCCATTCTCATGTTGACCTCTGTCACTTTAAGATTTCTGTATTAGTTCCTTTGCAGTGGGGACATCAAATACTATCATGTTTTAGGTTTCTAATCTATCCCCATACCTCCTGTGTGAGCTCTCCCCTTATCATGTGACCCAAGTCCAATCACATTGCTGTATTTGCCCTAGATCTCAAGTCCACATTTGAAAGATAACATATGATTTTTGGTCTTCTGAGACTGGCTAACCTTGCTCAGAATGATGTTCTTCAGCTCCATCCATTTACTTGCGAATGATAAGATTTCATTCTTCTTCATGGCTGAGTAAAATTCCATGATGTATAAAAACCACATTTTCTTAATCCATTCGTCAGTAGTGGGGCATCTTGGCTATTTCCATAACTTGGCTATTGTAAATAGTGCTGCAATAAACATGGGTGTGTAGGTGACTCTGGAGTAACCTGTGTCACATTCCTTCAGGTATATCCCCATGAGTGGTATTGCTGGATCATATGGCAGATCTATGTTTAGATTTTTAAGAAGCCTCCAAATTTTTTTCCAGAGTAGTATTAGCTTGCATTCCCACCAGTAGTGTATGAGGGCTCCTTTTCCCCACATCCTTGCCAACATCTGTTGGTGGTGGTGTTTTTGGTGATGGCTATTCTAATAGGGGTGAGGTGGAATCTTAGTGTGGTTTTGATTTGCATTTCCTTTTTATGGCTAGAGATGGTGAGCATTTTTCATTTGTTTTTTGGCCATTTGAATTTCTGCTTTTGAAAAAGTTCGGCTTAGTTCAGTTGCCCATTTCTTTATTGGTTCATAGATTTTGGGAGAGTTTAGTTTTTTGAGTTCCCTGCATATTCTGATTATCAGTCCTTTGCCTGATGTGTAGCTGGCAAATATTTTCTCCCACTCCATAGGTGGTCTCTTCAATTTGGAGACCATTTCTTTTGTTGTGCAGAAGTTTTTAGTTTTATGAAGTCCCATTTGTCCATACTTTCTCTTAGTTGCTGGGCTGTTGGTGTTCTATTGAGGAAGTCCTTGCCTATACCTATTACCTCCAGAGTGTTTCCTGCTCTTTCCTGTATCAACTTCAGAGTTTGGCGTCTGATATTAAGGTCCTTGATCCATTTTGAGTTGATACTAGTACAGGGTGATAAACATGGATCTAGTTTCAGTTTTTTGCAGGTGGATGGAAACCACTTTTTCCAACAACATTTGTTCAAGAGGGTGTCTTTCTCCATCGAATATTTTTAGTGCCTTTGTCAAAAATGTGGGTATAGTTGTGTGGATTCAAATTCAAATTCAGGTCCTTTATTCTGTTCCACTTGTCTTCATGTCTGTTTTTGTGCTAGTACTATGCTGTTTTTATTGC